GACTCGAGAGCCGGGCTCGAATCCCGGTGGGGGCAGATGTTTGTGTGATGAATACGAGCATTTGTACTCCAGTAATGAATGTTTAATATGTATTTCTATATAAATATACATATATATGTACTGTATATGTATTCTATCCGTTACCCTAGTATCCCATAACACAAGCCTTACAGTGTTTTCTTTGGGGTTAGGCTAATTGGTGTAAGTGTTGGAAATATTTATTTATTTAATGTTCATTCTTTACGTTATCACATTGGTCGGGAACCAAACCTTGACTAAACGAAGTCCACTGCGTTACTGCGGTCGTTGACTTTACGTAGTCGACTTGATATCATAATCTAAACGTATAAAAATCAATTGCTGTTCGTTAGTCTCGCTAAAACTCGAGAACAGCTGAACGGATTTATCTTATCTTGGTCTTGAAATATCCTCGGAGGTCTATGGAACGTTTAAAAGGTGAGAAAAAATATTATATAAAGACATTCATTGTGTATAATACAAGCCTGAGAACAAAAACTATAGTCTACCTACACTACAGCTCTACACCGAAGCGAAGCGAGGGCGGGCCACTAGTTTACTATAAATAATTCAGACATGAACACTCACCATTAAATCAAACTGGTTAAGAACGGGTTTAACCAAAATAGAGTTACTACTAGGTACAAGTTATAAGTAATCTGTCTGCCAGTATTGAAGAATGAATAATTGCGCCAATTCATTCAAGTTCACAAAGGAGATTGCTCAGCTTCCATACATGTTTGGCCTAAAAACCAATAACCATGAAAAATTGTTTCCTAGATTCGAAATTATATATAAATTACCGTAGAAACGAATATTATCGACGGCCACTCCTGACAACTTCTATAAACCATATACACTGAATGATTTTGAGGTTATGTTTGCAAATAGGCACATAGGTATTAGAATAATAAAAACCAAATAACTTATATAGGAAAATAGGGCAATCAAGCCAAGTACCGATATTATGTATTAGATTCAGGTATATAGAGCATGTAAAATAACAGATAATTGCCTGTTTTTAAAATTAATGCACAAGAGTAAGTTTTAAAATCATGATTATGCCATTGCGACTTTCAGAAGCAATCTTGTTTCATTTGACAAATGTCTAACACTAATTACACTAACAAAATGCATGTCAAGGAACTGGTACCTGCTTACCTATGTTATGAGAAACATGGAACTGTTATCATAATTTTATAAAAACCAATAAGATATTTTCTTAGTAATAATTAGGTTTATAATGGTAAAAGGTAATTCTAATGTAATAATATATTGCGTAGGTTCATGATAGTTCTAATCAATGTGTGAAATATGTATATTCCTGACATAGCTTAAATATTCTGATAAGGTAAATTAATGAAATAAAACAACTTAAGTACTTTTATGTTGCGTTTAATATTACATATTATCTACATTTTGAATTAAAATATCATCGAAATATTTTATCAATCTTTACAAAATAGATTTGTTTTGATGTTATATAAACAACCTCGATCAGTCTTTGTGAATGTTACTACACCCATAGCCAATAAAAATGATTCGTATGTTTTCCAAACCGGTAAAAATAGAAGTCCTTTTTTAAAATTAATATATTATTTAAAGGTGGCCGTTAAAATCTAATGACTGTAAAATAAAGTATAAATTACGCCAAGAATTACTGTATATGTCAATATTTTATTTGCATTTAGGCCAATTTGACCAATCTCCTTTTCTTTGAAAAATCAAGATCAAAATCAACTATGAGCTAAAGTGGTGACATTTTTTATCAACCGTAAATGGTGTAAAAACATATTGTTATTATTATTTTTTAGGATTCCATACCTTAAAAATGAAAAAACGGTACACTTATAGGACTCACTTTGTTGTCTATCTGTCTGTCACATTTGATCGATTTGCTCGGAATTTACTGGACCGATGAAGATGAAATTTGGTACACGTATGTATGTATGTGACCCAAATATAATTTCAGAATAGACGAAAATTTACCTATCACCCTCCACTTATATCCAAAACTTCTGCATCTATTCCTGTAAAAAAATGCGACGTAGTTCTTTGCTTGTAGAGTACAGGAAAATCTTTAAGAAGTTTCAAGTACTTTAAGTAAATAAATATTTAAGTGGCACCCATACAACAGACGTGATTTTTTTGACACTGTTTGTTAGATATTATAATATAGTGTCTAATATTGTAACGATAATGGTACGGAACCCCTCATGTGTGAGTCCAAGTCGCACTTGGCCAGTTTTTTTTTTGAAAGGGTGGCATGAAGCCGTTATATAGCTTAAAATTGGTACACTTTAATATATTTATTTAGTCCACAACAAAAAACAGATGAATTACACCATTCTACAGAACAGTGTTACGTTTGGTTGCATTCTTCTGAAATGGCGGCACTTCACTAGTTCGCCTTTCGTGTCTGCTACTTTCTGATGTTCGTCAAATAATCGCAATTTGGGATTAGTTTAATTGACAAGAAGTTATTAGCTCAATCGACAGATGGATCAATGATTATCATCTCTTGAATTTGTGGTTTTACGTTATTTGGCCATGTGTGGAGGTATTGTAGCATTCGCTATTAGCATGTATGGCAATTTTTAGCCGAATAAGTATTTAGTTACGCTAACTAGGAATAATCATGTGAAATGAAGCGTATTTTTAAAGTGAAACTTTTTTTAAAACCCCACAATTTTTATCGTTCATCTTTAGCACATCGCTTTACATTTTTAATTGTTATTAAATAAATGTTCTTGTTATCGATTATTGGTGGTTCAGTGGTAGAATTCTAGCCTACTACGCTAGCGGGGTTCGAATACCAGGAGAGGAAGCACTTTTTTTATTAATTATTTTTAAAGTTTCACTTGTATTGTGGTTTAAATAAACCCACACAATTTTTTTCTTAAGCCAGGCTATAAATGAGTAGGAAATCGCCGCTTTACTCTCATAAGATCTTTAGCAGGGTTACCAGAGCATCATAAAATACGACAACTTGATCTTTTTTATATAGTTTTGGAGAAAATTCATTGCATTACGGTTCTGTAGTAGTGTCAGTTTTTGAGATACTCGGGTAGCATTAGATCAATGTAATTTATAGTGGTATCAAAAGTGACACACTACCACCGCTGTTGACTGTACTTTCATCCGTACCCCTAGCACGAACCAATATCGAATTCGTATCGTCTGCGAGTCCGAAATGTCATTGTCAAATGTGTACTGATTTTTAGTTCTCGTTACGTACTTTGTGCCGCTGCTGTTTAAGTTTCCATACAAAATTTGACATTGACATTTCGGTTTGCAAACTATTCGAATTCGATAATGGTTCAAGCTAGGGGTACTGTACTTCAAGTAGACTTCAACGAAATATTTACCTGTGCGATAAACAAAATCAAAAAGCAATTTGTCGAGAAAACTATACCCTAATAATTTCTTTTTCTGAGACGAAAGACAAACAACCAAAAGGTATTTCAACAGCTCAAATTTTATTCGTATTATTATGCGCATTAATAATAATTAAAAAAAGTGACATTAAAAAATCTAAAACTACTCTATTCCCAAACCTTGAACGCATTATAATACTACTAAATTGAAGAGTGGTGATAAAGCGAAACATTTACGTTGATTTGTGAAATGTTTTAATCAGTTCTGGACTGACCATTTTAACTCTCTATGTTCACCTTTTGTCTCAGAGGAAGTTGAAAAACAGTATAGTAGTGTAAATCTCAGAAAGACGAAAATTTCTTTCATTCTTTGTCGTACTAATCGCAAGCGGAATTCTTTGCCTTTATTTTCATTCCTACAATATGGGGTCCTTTAGGGAAGGCGTGAAAAAGCATTTCTGCAGGCCGGGTGAGGATGGTTGGTGTGGCAGTTCATAACTGCTACACCAGCTATCTTCGCTTAACTTCAGGTCATTAAGTGGGATTTTCATTTGCCTACCTAACAATCTGAAAAAGTGCTTGTTTTCAGCATTGACCCGCCTGGAGATTGAACCAGAGATGGGAACTCTATTAAAACCCATTCAACCACGGAAATGGATTAGAAAGATAACTAGCAAACCAGTGAACCAAATGTTCACCAAAACCTGATTTAAAAAAAAATATGTATTTAATTAATTGAGAACTTCGGAGATTTTGTGTGGTGCGTTTGAAATTCGTGATTTCTCGAAAACTGGAAGTGCTACGTTACTCAAATCCGATTTGTAGTCTTATCAGACTATTCTTAACTTATAACTTAAATATTCTCTTTATCTATCTCTTACGGTTTGGCCGCTGAAACAACACCACAGACGGACGGACGGACTTGTCTAATAGATAAGAGAGGTTTATTTTGGTTCCATAGTCACGCTTACAACAGCGCGGGCTATGAGCTTCAAATATCTCGTACCTACGACAAAACTGTGGAATATATTATCGCCAGCAGTGTTTCCGGACTAATACGACTCGAAAACCTTCAAAAAAAGAGCACACTTCTTTCTTTAAGACCGGCATCGCACTTATGATACTCCTAGGCCCGTATTACAGAATGATAACTTAGTGTTGATCTTTACTTGAGTACAGTTAGAAAGGGATGTCGCTATATATAGCACATAGCTATCTATGCTCAAGACTAGATTCATTACTGAGAATCTTTCTATAATACGGGCCCTCGTGATGCAGTTGTCTATGAGCGACGGTGATCACTTAACATCAGATGAGTTTGCTCTTATGGCAAAAATTTTAAATTAAAAACTATAGTTGTCAAATGTTACAGCTGCTTGGGACTCAGCGAGTTTATTAGGCTTTGGGTTACTAGCAGGATTCGTTGTACCTGCATTTGAATAAATATTACTTCTTTTAAACTGTGGAAACATAGCCCAATATTTGAGAAAATCTTGTGAGCGTGCTTCAACTGTTACAAACCGCGCTCATCACTCGCGCTGACATTAAGCGCCACTGTGAAATCAGCCTTAGAGAAAAGGGCGTTGCGAAAAGAAAACGCATAAGTATCTTTTTCTCTTTTTATTTGACAAAAGAAATTAATTCATTTTTTTTGTTTCTTATTTCCGCTTTCCTTATAATACAATGTAGTTATAAAGTAATTATGCTATCTACCTATATTTATATATATTTCACTTTTCTATATGTTACAAAATATATTTACAGAAACGTAACTTTTCATCCCGTAAAGACCCATTCTAGAGATAAACATTGTTTTTACTTTAGTATTTCCACAAAATAATAATATTGAAAATTTTGAGCAAAATAAATATTGCAGAAAATTTATTTTCCCAGTTAAATAGTTTTTTTTAATTAAATTCGTGGATAAACTAAAGTATAATACAAAAAAAAAAACATTGCTTTAGATAAAAATACTACTAATTTGCATTCAGAACACAATTTGCACGAAAAAATTAAATAAATATATAATAATAATTTTATATCAAACGATATCTAAACATTGTTCTAAAGCTTAAAATTATTCATATCACAACAGACTGGTTTGTGTTCGTGTATTGATTTTAAAAGATAATTTGAATTTAGGCACTAAATAAATAGATGAACAAACTTTAAAGCTTAATTACGAAACAATAATTATGAATAATAGTACAAGAAACAGACCAATCCACGAGATTTTATTTGAGATTCTGAATATTACAGTTTGCAGTTTTCAAAACACAAACCTTAACAATTCAAATACACACATTGGACACATATTTATATGTGTCCAATCAGGAATTAAGAGTCAGTTTTTGTATGATTTATCCAAAACAGTAAAATTAAGTCTTACTACATTTTAGGATTGATGTCACCTTATACATATCTGTAAATTAGAACACAGTTTTTTTTAATTTAATGTTATTCCTCATATTAAATTCTGTTTTTCAACACTTTGAAAAATATAAGGATAATACAATTTTATATTTACGTGTTCGTATAGTAATAATTCGTAGAATGAACAATTTATTTCTTTTAAATTCTTTCTATAAACAGACACACCAATGTCTGTTAGTTCCTTCTTCCCAAACCCTTTACAACACATACAATTTACATTAATATTACAATTCTTACTATATATAGTTACTTAATCAATTATTATAAAAAATGTACAATGCTTTCTTTATTTAAATTCTATTAAATAATTTCTTAACGTCTAAAGTTGGTTGTGCCGATATATTTTCTCTTCACAATAAAAAATGCGCGCCATTTTCTCGCGTCCGCCATTTTGTGTTCCGTTTAGTTAAAGTGACATTTACAAAATAATTCGAAATTAGTGTATCTATTTTAAACATTTTCACCATCGCCGACGGCTGTTAAACTGCTGGCCATACCCTGTTGACAAAATATTCTTCATTAGTGGATTTTAAATAATAATAATCGATCTGTCTTACCTATTTTACTATTCTTTTATTATAAATGTGAAAGTTTGTATGTTTGTTACTCAATGACGCAAAAATACCTGAACAGATTTGGGTGAAATTTTACATACAGACAGCTTATAACTTGGAAAGTGACATAGGATACTTTTTATACCGGAATAGTTTTAGGTTCCTCCTGGATTTTCAAATAACTAAATTAGTAATCTTCTGAATCCATATAATCCTAAGTTCGTATTTTTTATTTCTTATTTGGAAGCTAAACAAGACTTATGTTTTTTTTTAATCATTTATCTGCTAGATATTTATTTCTTTTTGTTATTGTGGGTTATCTACAATGCGAAGAGAAGGCGCTGCCTTGCAGCCTAAGATATGCCAAAGAAAATTTGACTAGGCCATCAGAGCCGCGGTAGCATAATGGTTCGCCCGGATAGCGAAGGGTGCGGGTTCGAGCCCCGTCTGTTGTCTAGTCCGCGTGGATTTTTTTCTAGTAAACTTTCTACAGAATACTTTTGAAGTTAATATTTTGGTAATCTCTCTATTCTCTTATCTCTATACAATACAAAAACTGACATAACTTCCACGCAAGTAGTTCAAATAAAGTTTAAATATCATTAGAATTGTGTACCTTCGTTTGCAACTTTGTGTTTCTAATCAACAAAGTATCTGCATTAAATGAAGTTTGATTACTTTTTCCCATGTTGAGGGATTTCATGTTATGGTGTTAGGGCGCCATTAAAAAATCATTATGTTTCTTGACCCGTGGAGCCAAAAACTTTGATACCTTGCGCTTTTTACAGAAGTCTACATTTCCTATAAATAAAATTTCGTTTTGTATTTGGGCTGAATTTCAATTGATTATTTAATAAAAGTATGCAACTGAAAATTAATAATTTAAATTTACATCACCAATTAGCAAATTTATAAGCCAGTTGCAATGACTCTCCAACATATTGATATTAAATTGTAAAGTCCGTAGGTATAAATGTTTAGAGTATTAGAATTCATTTTTGCGAAAATTACTCAGAAGAATTCTTAAAATAACTACTTAAACTTTAAAAGGATCTGCCAAAGAGAATCAGATTTAACAAAGTTTATTTGGTTTCTGATGCAATTTTTCTTGTTTTTTTAATTGTGAATAGATTACGAGTGTTAATTTTTAGTAGGTAACTAAAGAAATAATAACTATTGTATGTAACCAAATTTTCGCAAATAAATGATTATTATTATTACCAGGCTGGTGCCTAGTATGGATGGTATTTAAGATTAGTATCTCAGAATCCTACACCAATAGTCCCGGGTTGGCGTCAGGTTGGTACCATGAATACAGGGGAATGTAAGCTGCCAGCTCGATAAGAGCTGTTGCTCAGATACTTACGTCAACAGTCCGGAGTTTGAAGTCAAATTGTTACTCGAAATACAGCTGCGGTGTGCATTATTTCGGTGTGTATTATAAAACTGGTGACAACTCAGACACTCACGTCAATAGTCCCGGATTGGCGTCAGGTTAGTACCATGAATACAGGGGAATGTAAGCTGCTAGCTAGAAAGACTTGTTGCTCAGCTACTTACGTCAACAGTCCGGAGTTTGAAGTCAAGTTGTTACTCGAACTACAGCAGCGGTGTGCATTATGTCGGTGTGTATTATAAAACTGGTGACAACTCAGACACTCACGTCAATAGTCCCGGATTGGCGTCAGGTTGGTACCATGAATACAGGGGAATGTAAGCTGCTAGCTAGAAAGACTTGTTGCTCAGCTACTTACGTCAACAGTCCGGAGTTTGAAGTCAAATTGTTACTCGAACTACAGCAGCGGTGTGCGTTATTTCGGTGTGTATTATAAAACTGGTGACAACTCAGACACTCACGTCAATAGTCCCGGATTGGCGTCAGGTTGGTACCAGGAATACAGGGGAATGTAAGCTGCCAGCTCGATAAGAGCTGTTGCTCAGATACTTACGTCAACAGTCCGGAGTTTGAAGTCAAGTTGTTACTCGAACTACAGCAGCGGTGTGCATTATTTCGGTGTGTATTATAAAACTGGTGACAACTCAGACACTCACGTCAATAGTCCCGGATTGGCGTCAGGTTGGTACCATGAATACAGGGGAATGTAAGCTGCTAGCTAGAAAGACTTGTTGCTCAGCTACTTACGTCAACAGTCCGGAGTTTGAAGTCAAATTGTTACTCGAACTACAGCTGCGGTGTGCAGTATTTTGGTGTATATTATAAAAGTGGTGGCAACTCAGATACTCACGTCAATAATCCCGGATTGGCGTCAGGTTGGTACCACGAATACTGGGGGACGTAAGGCGGATGCGGCTGCGGCGCCCCCTGGTGGTGCAGTGCGTGCGCGTGCGCGCCTTTCATGTCCCAGGGTCCGGGCGGCGCGCCCTATAGGACAATAAGAACTATTGCTTAGCACAAAGACTAAGAAACTACTTAGCATTAACACATGTTCCTTCTTTATGGTAATTGTAGGTCCGACAAATGACTCTACCCCACCTGATGTTAAGTGAAGGTGAAGTCCAAACGCGAAGATAGCTGATACAGCAGTTCTACCTGCCACACCAGCCATCCTTACCCTGCCGGCCTGCATGTTGCTTCTTCACGCCTCTTTTAAAGGATCCCAGGTTGTAAGAGGGAGGGAACACGTGAGCGGGCAGAGCATTCCATTTACGGATAGCGGGACAAAGAAATGAGTCACCAAATTTCTTTGTACTCGTTGGAATTGTGGCCACAGTTAGATGGTGGCAACGTAGGCCAGTGGTCCTCTGAAGGAAAGGGGAAGGTGGAATAACAGAGAATAACCTCAGAACACTCGCCGTGGTACAGGCGATAGAACATGATAGATGGAAAATGAAATCCTTTTGTTTGGTAATCATTTGATATTGTAACAATGGAAGATATGTGTATATGGAATATTAGTTTAGTTTATAATATACTCGTAGATGTGTCGCCGCACACGGTTGCCATGTGCATGGTCCCGAACACTTAGTGGTTAATAATTCACCATTATTAGACACTAACATCCGCAACACAATTTTTGAAAAACAAAACTGCTAAGTGACGCTTCCTGATCCCGCCAAAAAGTAAAAAAAAAAGAACATAAAGACCTGTCACAAAACGGGGGTAGCCGCATCAAAAAAATACGTGTTGTCAATGCAATTAATGAAAATAAGTGTTTGTATACGTAAAGTGTATAGCTTAATATAATGAAGAGTTACATTAGCGGCATTAACATCAGGGTTATTACTTGCGACAATCAACTTAGTTTTAGCCGTGTAAGTAATCAAGTTGGGTGAGGTGTGGTTCCGTTACACGTAAGTAATACATTTAAAAGGTTTATCGTTAATCGACCAACACTGCGGTTGGAAACGAAACGCAACACGCATAGTGTTAAAACTATCGGTATGAATACAAAGGAATCTCATTTCGTTTGTACTACCTAACGTTCTTTCACGTTTTTTTTTTTATTTACAATTATTATGACTTATGATCAGAGTAGTTTAGGGCAATAGAAAAATATACGTCCATACTTGCTGTATCTTTCAAAAAATACAGAAATACTTAAACCTGACAAACAATTAGTCGAGAAGACAGGATTTGTTAATGGAATCATAGCTCTATAAAAGCCTATATTTTTATTACATTAAAATGTAATACAGATCCTTGGGGCACTGGAGTATCCCAGGTCTGAGCTTATGGACATAATGTTAAAGGCAATATTAAGCCAGATGGATCATGAACATGCTTTCTACCTTTTAGTTACGTAAAAAAGGTGTGGTCTTTTCTGAAATGATGGCCATTTGAAAACTTCCTACAGTGCGCCAAAAATCTTATAGCACATGGCCGCAATCGATACTAATTTTAGGAAGGCATAAAATAAGCCTTGAATTTATACAGGAAGGTGGAAATAAGCCTTTTTTATTTCCTGCTACTCTTTCCGGGTTGTTATAAACCATCATGTTTCCTTCAGTGAGGATTTTTTTACGTAATCCTCATTTCATCACATTTTCACTAGCAACGTTCCCTCCTGTCAATGTCATCTCTGTCAAGTGCATGGAGGTTAGAGAGAAGGAGAACGATCGCTACGTGCTAAAGCATTAGCCCGCCTGTCTCTGAAAATTTGTAGAATTTAGAGTTCATTCTTCATCCACCAGCCGCGCTGCCGTCGGCAAGTAGTATCTGTGAAGTTAGCTGTTTATGAGTACAAGTAGATGAAGTTAGTTGAATAATGTACAAATTTTCTTCGCGGCATTGGTCAGTAATCTGAATTAGCGCACAACAGCCCGCTTTTTGGGAGACAACTTAGCGATCGCAGCGCCTCACTTATTTTGTCCATATTTCTGGGATACTATTTTCTACAACGGTCGTTCTCCTTATCTCTAACCTTCATAGTCAAGTGCCACAAGATCGTGTTCGCACTGTTCAACATTTCTGTCATATCAAATTCGAGTCATGAACTGTCGTTTTAAAAAGGCAAACTTTTTAAATTCAATAAAGAGATTTTAAACTCACGTATCCTACTCTCGGGTCCCAGGACTGTTGGTGCGGAGGCTTCACGTCACACGAGGAACCGTCAGGCGACCGCCCTGCTGAAGGCTGTAACAAGAGTTTGACTTAAGAATTCGAATCACTATATGTCACACCTTATCAAATACATTTTAAAATTTGGTCAGTTTTTAATGTGAATAAGATACTGAGTTTTTGTGGCAGTGAGGCACGGACCATCAAAAAGCATACCTATATTATAAAAAAACTAGAGGCTATTAAGGTGTACTTTTACCGTGGTATATCTTAGATTCATCATCATCATCATCAGCTTATTAATGTCCCCACTGCTGGGGCACAGGCCTTCTTTATGGATGGATTAGGGAGATTGGGCCATGACCTACCAAGCGGGTCCAGTGCGACTGCAGATGCAGCCGGGACCAACGGCTTAACGTGCCAGATAGTAAATTTTTGGTCACCCATCCAATAACCGACCACTGCGAAAGTTGCTCAGCTTCAACGACCGCACTAACCACTGGCGTCATCGAGCTCCTCGCATTAGATTATATATTTTAGATTAGGACTAGAGTCTAAATTTTAACTGATTAATGTTTCCCCCCTCTTTTTAAAATTAACAATAGTATGAAAATGGTGTGTTTTGGGAAGAAATACTTATAATTTATGCGTATAACGAAACATTATTGTAACAAGTTTAAGTTTGTATCAACCAGTTTTATTACATATCCAACATGTATGTCCACGGCGTCCCAGTAGGGGACAGGCCAGGGGACAGCTTCGACATTTTATTTTATTTATTATTTATTTATTTTTAATTACCGCGACATTATACCATTTACAGCAATTAGTTAAAAAAAAACTAAGGATTACAAACATGAGAATTCACACTCATTTTTCTCGCAAAACAACACTCAGTCATACATTATTTTATTCCATCCATCTGTATACACATCACACTCAGGCTTATCAGCCAGGAGTGCTTTAATTTGAGTCATAATGCGACTAAGAGGAGATTGAGTGCGTGTCATAGTGCGGGCAAACGGTGGTGCGAAGAGACGACGCGGATGGTTAGGTTAGGTTAGGTTATTAGGTTAGGACGGTAAAATAACAGTTAAGGTTGTATCATGAAGTTTTCTTACATATCCGACCTTTACATCCCATGAAGGCTGCGGGGGCTGCTTGACATCCCACGGCGTCCCAGTAGGGGAAAGGCCAGGGGACAGCTCAGACACTGGCGTCGAGCTGGGCGTAGGCGAGTGCGCTTGCGTCGGCCCACTCTGGTACGCGGATGGGGAATGTTGGGAACCGCTTGAACTACCGCCGCCACCTGGGAGAGAAATTAAAGTGTTATTACGTATGAATTTGGTTGTGATGTTAGTAAATTATCTATACTCTATACAACTCAGACAAAACGTTAACAAACACTATAAAGGTTTTTTTTTCAATAGGCCGAATTTTATGCGTATATAAAATCATAATTTAAAAAAAGTGTCATTGTAAAGACCTTAAACTATTCTCTAACTTTAGATGCATTACAATTACTAAACTGAAGAGTAGTGATAAAACGAATAATCTATATCTTTATATATATAATTCTTCTGTGAGTGTGTATGTCACTGAACTTCTCTTAAACGACTGGACCGATTTTGATGAAATTTTTTGTGTGTTCAAGGGGATCTGAGAATGGTTTAGATTCACAATTTTGTCCGCTGGACAACCCCTATTTTTTTAGGGCGGTACGAAGTTCGCTGGGTCAGCTAGTTGTATATAAAACTCAAAGGTGACTGACTGACATAGTGATCTATCAACGCACAGCCAAAACCACTGGTCGGATCGGGCTGAAATTGGGCATGCAGGTAGAAGAAAGGATTTTGATCAATTCTACCCCAGGGGATAAAATAGGGAATGAAAGTTTGTATGCCACTTTGTCAATTTTAAATCGATTTCTCGTGTCACAATGTTAGGTACCATACCCCTCTGAAATGGCTTGGCCGATTTTTATCAAATTTGATATGCATATTAGTCTGAGAATTCGGTCTGGGAATCGGCTACCATCAATTTTTCATACCCCTAAGTGATAAGGGTTGTTCACCACTAAAATTTTTTTTGGACATTTTTTTTTTCATTTTTTTATAATGTGGTATTAAAAAGTATATACTCGTACAACGTTTTGGATCGTTATCTGTTTACTTTATTCTGTTTATTAATTATAAACAATAAACATTATAATCAATAAGCAGTTGTTACAATAATACATTGTTACTTTTAAAAATGTAGTAAACCGATTTTTATTGGTATGCTCTACGCAATTGTTGATCATTAAAAATTTCTTCTAAAGCTTTGTCTAAATAACAATATTTACCGTGTAATAACTGGTTGTTGCTCGGGGGGCTTCCAGGAGGGAGCCCTAAGCTAGGGGGCGGAGCGCCCACTTGTGCGGCCTTCATCATCTTCTTGTATTTGCTACGCCGATTCTGGAACCATATCTTGACCTGGTGGAAGAAGAGAAGATTTTGATTTTAATTTTGTTTCTTTGTTGGTTCCGTAGACTTGGTTAAGAGAATACTCTTTCAGTATTATTGAAAGAAATTTTAATGTAAAATATTTATTATGGTAGTTTTTAGGCACTTGTCTCTTCGCTGCCGCCGAGCGAGAGAGCTATTAAAACTAAAAACGAGTTGACAATCGGCGGGAAGCGAGTGTGCGAGTACGACGGGCGATAACTCGCACCATTCATTCATAGAGGCAGTTCTGAACAAAAAGGCACGCGCCCGCGTTCTGTCGGCTAAGCGAACATTGCTGAGCGAGTATTATCTTTAATAGCTCTTTTCGCTCAGCCATAAACTAGTGGAGCGAGTTCTCGCCAGGAGTGTAAACAGGCAGCGATCAACTATTTATATGTGCATTTCTTTCGTTTACACGCCTGCATCATCCCCTTCTCAGAGGTTCATTGCATAAGCTGAAGCCTGTAAAACCTTTATGGATATAGGCATCCCCCACGGAAGATTTTTAGACAGTAAGACTCTGACATAACCCTGCAGCCGGCTGTAGGGTATCCATGAGGATTTCTCAACCGCTCCCCCGCCTGGGAGGAAACAAAAAAAACGTTTACACGGAATGTATATATTCATAATATGTAGTATATATTATAGAGATGACCTTAGTAGCCGAGAGTTTTATACACCGGGTTGTCGCCTACCCGAGAGGATACTGGATTCGAATCCCGGTGGGGGCAGATGTTTGAGTGATGAATACCAGCATTTGTTCTCCAGTCATGGATGTTTCATATGTATTTCTATATGAATATATCTATACATATATGTATTGTATCCGTTACCCTAGTATCCCATAACAAAAGCCTACAGTGCTTACTTTAGAGCTAGGCTAATTGGTGTGAGTGTTGGAAATATTTTATTTATCTACAGTACGTTTCTTGAGCGAGAAAATAGCCGATAGTTAGTCGCTTTCTCCCCGGCGGTGGGATAACTTCCTTAAACATATTTCGCAATGAAGGCACGTTAAGCCGATGCCCCAGCTGCACCTGCACCAATATAAACTATGCCCGCATGATGGGTCACAGCCCATTCTCCCTATTCCATCCATAGGGTAGGCTTGTGCCCCAGCGGGGGGCATTAATCTGCTGGCGATTCAGACTAATCCACTATATAAGTAAACTCTATCAATAAATAGTGGAAAGCCAAAGGTGACGGTTACTAATAAAATTATTAGACGCGCGTCATTGCGCTCCGTTTGTATGTGGCTCACGCACGTGGGGTATATAAGGGATAGAGGAATGGCGTGTAGGGCGGGGCCAAGGGTGAGGCCGTTACACAGCCGTTAGGTTAGTGCTGGGACATAGGTGTTGATAGTCGATAAAAATAGACGAAAAATATTGTTCTTACAGGAAAAAGATATTAAAACAGGAAAAGGTAACAGTCAACTATTTGCATGTCGATTTTTAGATTCCTAATAAATATAAAAAAAAATATATTATTTGTATAGTAATTACTTACTAAAGCTAAGTTACCTTTAGATATTGAGTTGAAAAAAAATATAAGACATATTAACACATTTTTTTACAGGGAATGTTATTGTAGAAATATGGGTTAAAGAACATATTTTTTAAAATTTATGAGTTAATTTTAAGTACTTAGACTTGTAGTATTAAATCAGTACAGTTCTTTCATTTTAATGTGGTCTTTATTTATGTGGAACTAACATTAATCATACATAAACCTTACGAATACCTATAATCTGTTAGTATTATTACTGTATAAAGTAGTAGTATTAAATATAATAACAGAACCTGATTCTATTGATAATTATTAGTTTAGTAATTGTTTCTGCGAACGATAAGAAAAATCAATATGTCACAGCGGCAAAACCCGACCGTCTAGATTGCTAATATCATGTCAAAGAGATTAATAAATACTTATTAAGCTGTGCACACAGTTTGCACAGCTCATAATACAAAAAAAACGGTCAAGCGCATGCCAAATTTTTTACAAGGTCTAAAAAAGGTTTTCATTCAATTAATTTTTTTTATTATGCGTTCATGTTGATTGGTTAGTTCGAGCAAATGTCTCTACCCCAATTGACAGAAGACATCTATGAACTGACGGATCCTTTGATTCACGTTTACACAGCCTAGAATATCTGTGTATAGAAACGTCAACCGTTACTGACTTACTGATCTATCAACTCACAACCAGTGGCGGGGCTAGACCACATGTGGACGTCGGCGACATTAAGTTCGCGAGGCCTATTTTACTTCGCAGTAAAAAACCGTTAAATTAAGTGAGCCAAATTATAAAAAAACGTATGAGTAAACGAGTTTTATTGTTGATAATCAAATGATGACAAAAAATAATTACAAAAACATAGAAATTTAATTACAAAAATAGTGTTGCCCGACAGACGATTCTGAATACCCGTAAAGTACTACTCACTTCCATCACGCACGTGTTCGAAAATAATAAAAGTCATTTTCATCTGCTTAGCTTTTTCCCCGAATTGTTCGGGGTCGGCTACCTAAGCCAGGCCAGGAGAAACCAAAATAAATAGGTAACCAGTAAAAATTTTTTGCAAGGCCCCCTCAGGCGCGAGGCCGTCGGCGGTGGCCGACGTCGCCGACGCATAGCGCCGCCACTGCTCACAGCCCAAACAACTGAACGCGCTCAAACATACCACTCATATAGCTTTTATGATGTAATCGTGCGCTAAGAAAGTATTTTCCAAAACTCGTTCCCTAAAAGGTTAAAACGAGGGTTCAAAGTTTGCCTGGGACAAATTTTCCGCAAAGACAAAGTCTCGAGCCCCCACTAGTTAAATATAAAGTCTAGGAAATAAGCGTGAGTAAATCTAAACGTGAAGACAACATAATCCGACGTGCTGTCTAATAATTATATCATTGTTAAAGTATTTTAACGATAAATTTAAAGGTTTCCTGACAAATATTAGTTAAAACTATTTACATGCATCAAATGACTTGCTTGTATTAACTTAATTGTGTTGTGAATGAATACTAAATGTTAGTAATATTTCGTTTTAACACGTTATTTAGTTATGCGCCTATTCATTTAAAGACGTAATCGTGAATTGCATTGTTTTTGCATTTGTAATTTTGCGTTGAAATTTATGATGACAACTTTGTTAAAACAAAATGGTGTTTTTATGGAGGAAATACTTAATGTTGTGCGTATAACAAAAAAAATAATGATAACAAGTTTAAGTTTGTATCAACCAGTTTTCTGACATATCCGAATTTCACGTCCACGGCGTCTCATTAGGCGGGGAATTTGCGCTGAAATTTATTTTCCATTAACATGACAACTTTGTTAAAAGGAGAGTATAGTTAAATCGAACCGCCGGTTTCGGAATTGACCTAAAATTTACAGGAGACCACCGTGAATGACATCTTTTGCTAGGATTACGTTTTTGTTCGTGAGTATGTATGGTTTACAGGACTCTAATGGTAGGATATGTGATCAGGGTAGGCAACGCACGAATAATGTAAACATATAAAAAAAAATATTTGTGTCATATTGCGAAGCAAAAGTTTCATTGCATAGAAATAAATATTAAAAAATGGGTTACACTTTCATGGTCACTAACATTATAGTTATTAGCGGGATTGTTACCATGTACCTTATTTTTTATAAGTCTCCCATACTTCGGAAAAAAAATCCGAAGTAATCACTTAGTAACTCAATGAAATATAAAAAAAAAACTAGTAAAAATATATGAAACATTTTGTTTTTAAATTACATCTCTTTGTTTAATTCCCTAAAATTATCGATATCGGTGAATGGCTTCCCGCGTCACTATTCTCCACCCACCACCCCACCCCTATTAGTCGGGTCAGAGGGCGCGATATGATTTAACCCTGCCTAACTTATTGTATTGGTATTCGGTCAAATTGTACCCACTCGCCGACGCTACGGGTTAAAAGGAAAATATGTTTTCGTTATTTGTGTGTCTATACTAACATTGAAAAGAAGAAAGATTTAAAATTTTGTATATTTGTAGTAAATTAACTTAAAAACTACAGAACGGATTTTAAAAATTCTTTCTGCAGTAGAAAAATGCATTTTCTATGAGTAACATAGGCTATATTTTATGGCATTAAGGGTCACCCGTGAAAAGTTGGGGCAGATCAATATTATTATATTCCTTGTTGAATAAATATTTTTTTTTATTATAACAGGGTGGCAAACAAATCCATGCAAAAATCTCCCTATTCCATGCATAGAGAAGGCCTGTGCCCCAATCAGTGGGGACATTAATAGGCTGATGATGATGATGAAACAAATGCATGGTAATGATAAGCGACCACCATAGCGTATAACGCTTGCATTACCAAAAATATTCCTCGTCCCGTTGCTAACTCTGACCTAATTTTATTTCCGTGGTCCGATAAATGACTCTAACCCACCGGATGTTAAGTGACGGTGAAGTCCAGACGTGAAGATAGCTGGTATAGCAGTTCTACCTGCCACACCAGCCATCCTCACCTAGCCGGCCTGTATGTTGCTTCTTCACGCCTCTTTTAAAGGATCCCAGGTTGAAAGAGGGAGGGAACACGTGCGCAGGCAGAGAATTCCATTTACGGATAGTGCGACAAAGAAATAATCTTCTACCCCGTGAAGTCATGGTACCTTACTCACAGACAGAAACACAACACCACCAATAGCTAATGGTATTTTAATTTGGTCTTCGTAAGAGTTTCTTCCCCAGACGGTCGCTCCAATTCAAGTGGGAACTCGGCTATGCTTTTCTTGTCACTATGCTTAACTTTTTATATTAGTGGACGCTTTTGGAAATTTTCTTCATCAGTCTATTAATATCCCCACTGCTGGGGCACAAGCCTGGATGGAATAGGGAGTTTGGGTCATGCGGGCCCAGTGCGGACTGCAGATGCAGCCGGTACCAATGGCTTAACGTGCCTGTCGAAGCACGGAGGAGCTCGAAATAGTAAATTATTGGTCACCCA